CGGTTAAGATTTGTGCCCAACTGTTGACGCACGGACGCACGGACGGACGGACGGACGCACGGACGGACGGACGGACGCACGGACGGACGGACGATCAAGCGATTCTACAAGCTGCATCTGACTATGTCAGATGAGCTAAAAACAAAGATAATACTGTTTCATCGACTCTTGCTTGTCCGCAAAATAATGTAGTCTACATCTACATGGTTACGTCACTCTTGACAATTACTTCCATGCATGACTATTAGTTCTCCTCTTTAATCACGTTTATTTTATTAAAACATCACGAAGTAAAAATCACGCAAACTTCGCTAGACACAAAACTGCCAATCTTGCATTTGAACTGCACCGGACAGCGTCACAGCGATGATTTCATTGGCCGGTGAGAAATGTCGTTGTGCGGTTCAATGCAAGATTGGCAGTTTTGTGTGTAGCGAAGTTTGCGTGATTTTGATGTTGTGATGTTTTAATAAAAACGTGATTAAAAAGGCGAATACTGCATGACAAGTGTTTTGTAATGTAGGTAAGATGTTAATAAAGCGACGGCTTTAGGTATTTCTTTGATTTTCTATGTAACTGTAAGTTAACACGGCCGTATAAATAGTGAAAATGTTGTCGTGCATTTGGCACGACAAAATTCACAGGTTTTGTCTATGGAAGGGTATTGGGCCCTAAAATAACATCAGAATATAAAAAATTTTAGGGCACAATTTATTGGTCTAACAGTTACAATAATCAATATCCCTAAAACTTAAAAGTACAAACAGTCAACTAGAACCTGTCCCAAACCCTAACCCCAACCCTAACACTAACTCTAAACCGACTCGGCTATCTTATATACGCGTGTTATAGTACCAAATACCGTCTATGGTGTGGTGGCGATTTTACGCATTAGCGGTACGGTAAAAATACACGCGCCCGGTGTCACGGTCTGAGATTACCCCCAGTCTGAAATTACCCTAGCGCTACTGCGCATGCGCCACGCATGCGCACGAGGTGCTGGGTGTAAAGCGCAGTAGCAAAAATTAGCATTGGTTAACTGAGACTGCCACCGTCACATTAGCCATTTGTCAAAAATACGGACAGAAGCAGTTTATTATTGCTCTCTCCAACACGGAAGTGACTATACGCACGGCGGCCGTGTGGGCCAGATTCAATATGGCTATACGCACGGCGGCCGTATGACCGACTCAATATGGCTAGGAATGAGGAAGGGGAGAAGGGAGAAGCTGGTCGAGAAGGAGGAAAGGAGGAAGGGGAAAAGGGAGAAGGTCCACAGTGGAGAAGGAGGAAGGGAGAAGCTGGTGGAGAAGGAGGAAAGGGAGAAGGAAGAAGGTGGTGGAGAAGGAGGAGGGGAGAAGCTGGTGGAAAAGGAGAAGGGGAGAAGGGAGAAGGTGTTGGAGGAAGAGGGGGAGGGGGAGAAGCTGGTGGAGAAGGAGGAGGGGGAGAAGAGAGGTGGTGGAGAAGGAAGGGAGAAGCTGGTGGAGAAGGAGGAGGGGGAGAAGAGAGGTGGTGGAGAAGGAAGGGAGAAGCTGGTGGAGAAGGGAGGAAGGAGGAGAAGAGAGGTGGTGGAGAAGGAAGGGAGAAGCTGGTGGAGAAGGAGGAGGGGGGAAG